TAAGGAGTATATACTAAAAATCAACCTGGTGTTCTTTTTTTTTTTTTTTTTAACCTTGGTTGTTTCATGATTAATGTAAATAATATTATTCACTTACGTGGTACATGGAAAATGGCACCTTAAAGAAGGAAACTGGGTGACAAGCATTAAGGAGGGCACATGATGAGATAAGCACCGGGTGTTATGCTATCTGTTGGCAAATTGAATTTAAATAAAATCTTAAAAAATAAAAGAAGGAAAAAGACCGTCTGTGCAATATGGGGCCAGTTCAAGAACTGAGGTAAAGGTCTTATTGGGAGACATGACTTTAAATTTTAAATACCTACTAGTGATAGAGCCACTGGAGAAAACAGAATGGAAGTTCCACAGAAAATTTAAATTAATTCCTTTTCTGGATATTATCAGAAGAAAATGAAAGCACACTAACTCAGAGGTATATGCATCCCATGTTCACTGTAGCATTGCTTACAGCCACCAATGCGTGGAAACAACCTAAGTTTTCATTGATGGGTGGATGGATAAGGAATTTGTGACACACACACATATTGGTTCATAAACGAGAATGAATTCTTGCCATTTGTAATGGCCTGGGTGGATCTGGAGAGTGTCACGCTTAGTGAAATGTTGGAGAAAGACACCTTAACATCTCTTACGTGTGGAACTTAAAACCAACCTGATAAAGAGGACAGCTGGTGGTTCTCAGATGTAGAAGTGGGAGAAAAGGGTGAATTTTCTTTTCTTTTCTTTTTTTTAGTTTAAATAAATTGAGGGGAAAAAATAACTTAGGTTTATGAATAGTAACTTCATTCTATTTACCCGAGCTTTCATTTCAGATCTTTGGAGAAGAAAGCTCCTTAATGTCAGCTTTTTTTTTTAATATTTTATTTATTCATGAGAGACAGAGAGAGAGAGAGAGAGAGAGGCAGAGACACAGGCAGAGGGAGAAGCAGGCTCCATGCTGGGAGCCCGATGCGGGACTCGATCCTGGGTCTCCAGGATCACACCCTGGGCTGAAGGCAGCGCTAAACGTTTGAGCCACCTGGGCTGCCCCTTAATGTCAGCTTTATAGTGACTTAACAAATCATGTGTCTCGTCCTCCTAGATGAAGGTGATGCCTTAATATTTTTCATGTATTAGTTTATATCGAACTAATATTTTCTCCAAAAAACTACCTGAAGACACAGTATAGTTCCATAGTGTGCAAGATCAGCAGTGTTTGCTCTTCAGGAATGTTGGGGATAACCTTTCTCATGGCAGAACAGCCTGGAGGCTCTGTGGCCACGCTGCTGGGACTGTGGGTTCACTTCCCAGTTTTCCCGACACGGTGCTGGAGGCTGACATGGCCACGGAGGGATGTGTCTCTATGGGCCACGCCTCACGTGGTGGGGACGTGTGGGGACTAGCCTGCGGCCACCGGGTGGGTGGAGCTGGGGAGGCCGAGGCCCGGCGGGTGGGCCGGGGTAAGTGCCCGGTCCCCTGGCCCCTCTGCCCGGGAGCCCAGGCTCGGGGTCCTCCTTCCTCCCCTCCTACTCTCCTGCACCTTCCTCGGCACTCAGCCTTCCCCGCCGGGCCCGGGGATGCTGGGCGTGGGGAAGGCCCTTCGGACCCTCTGGTCTCCAACTATGCTGTCCCTCTCGGTGGCATCCGGATCTTTGGTGCCTTGAGCCGTCACCCAGGATGCGGGCCCCGGATCCACCATGTCCCTCGTCTGCTCGAGGCCGTGCGACAGGAGGTCGGCTCGACAGATGGGTCAGTGAAGTGAATTCAAAACCGGTTGCGTCTGAGCCTCTTTTCCTTGGGTTCCCTGTTCCGGCGGCGGGTCTCCCATGGCCCCGGCTTCCTCGACTTCCCCCCCTTCAACTTGCTGCCACCAGCGTGTGACCCCCCCTTGTGGTGTGGGCAGTTGGGACAGGCTCCCCCCCATCCTGCACCTCGCGGCCGGGCCGGGCTGTCTACACCACGGGCCTGATGGTGTTACTCCTCGGAAGACGCCGTGTGACTCCTCGTTTCTGTCACCCTCGAGGCCTTCCTCGGCATGATCCAGAGCCACGTGTACGTCCTGGCTTGCCCACTGTCCGCGCCTGTCCTCGCTGCCTCGCCGCCGCGAGCCCTGTCTCCACTGCCACGGCATGTGCGGTGCATGGGTTCCTGTGGCGGACGCTGTCCTGTTGGCCACTGCCTGTGCTGGGCCGCGCCCGGACGCTGACTCCCTTGCCTGGGAGAAGGCCCGTCACTTGCCAGCGGCTCAGGGGCCCCCCCGTGCTCTTGACTTACCTGCCCACCGCCTTTCCCCTGTCAGCTTCTCGAAGGCAGGCAGTCCTTCCTTGTTCATGTGCCTGGCACGTTCAGTGTAGGCAGGCCGGCTGAACGTCCTCACCCTCCCACATCAGAAACAAGTTTTTTTTTTTTTTTAAGATTTTATTTGTGAGAGAGAGTGTGGGCGTGAGCACGGGGAGGAGCAGAGGGAGAGGGCCGAGCAGACCCTGTGCCCAGTGCAGACCCTGATGTGGGGCTCGATCTCATGACCCTGAGATTGTGACCTGAGCTGAAATCAGGAGGCCGACGCTTAAGTGACTGAGCCACCCAGGGGCCCCACGACTAACATTTTTAAAACTATTTCTTATTGAGATCTCACACCTTTAAAGCTCACAGTTGAGTGATTCTCAGTGTGTTCACAGGGCTGTACAGCCATTACCACGGCCTAGTTCCAGAACATTCCATCACCCCCAAAGGAGACCCTGTACCTACTAGCAGTTGCTCCCTGTTCTCTCCGTCTTCCAGTCCTTTGCAACCACTAACCTACTTTGTGGGGATTTGCTTATTCTGGAAATTTCATGTAAGTGGAATCATACCACATGTGGCCTTTTGTATTTTTTTCACTTAGAATAATGTTTTCAGGGCCTGTGTGTGACCCCGTATGTCGTACCTCAGTGCTCGTACGATGTGACGTTCTGTTGTATGGACTCGCCTGTGTCGTCCGTTCATGGTTGGCAGGCATGTGGGTCCTTCCTAGTTTTTGACTATTATGAAGCAGGCTGTCAGGAACATTCATTTACAAGTTTTCCTGTGAACCTGGGATTTCATTTCTCTTGGGTGCATATCTAGGGGTGAGTTGCTAGGTCACATGGGTGACTGTAACTTTTTTGAGAAACTTTCCCAAAGTGGCTGCACCATTTTACATTCTCACTGTCAAGGTCGAGAGCTCTGAGCTTTCCCAACCCGGTTCGGGTTTGTGTCTTACTAAAGACTGATGACGATGAGCATCGTTTCCAGGGCGTATTGGCCATTTGTATATTTTCCGTGGAGAAAGGTGTACTCAAAATTCTTTTCCCATTAAGAATTTTCTGTTTTTTTTTTGACAAGTTATAGGAGTTCTTTGCAATAATTCAGTTACTAGACTCTTACAAGATACATGATTTGCAAAAGATGGTGAAGAATATTTTAAGAAACAGGTTCACTACTGATGCGTGCTGCAGCATGGACCACCCTCGAAAGCACTGCGCTCCGTGAAAACACCACGTTGTGTAATTCCATCTATTTGAAATGTCTAGAAGAGGCAAATCCATGAGGATTGAAAGTAATTACCAGGAGCTGGGAGGAGGGGCTAATGGACAGTAACTATTAATAGATTACAAAGTTCCTTTTGGGGATGATGAGAATGTTCTAGAATTAGAGAGTGGTGGTGATTGTACAACCCTTCTGAATAGACTTAAGATGATTAGAATTTAAATGGGTGATTTTTTATTATATGTGAATTATATCTTGATAAATCTTTAAAAAAGAACAAGCATTATTTTGTTTTTTGAACTATTGAGGTTTGTACCACTTTGGAAGATAGCTGGAGAGTTTGCTACTGGCCAGGACGCCAGGCCTTTTATCTTTGGCAAGAGAGGGGAGCGTGTACTGTCTCTGTTGTTCCTTTTTTTTTCCCCCCACACTATCCCTGGGGGAGTTATACTTGAACAAGTCCCTCTTTGCTTATGTGAACTTGAGACACCATTTACTTTCAGATTTATTTACTTATTTTTAAAGATTCATTTATTTTAGAGAGAGCGTGTGAGCGGGGCCGGGGTCAGAGGGAGAGAATCCACAAGGAGACTCTCCGCTGAGTGCAGAGCCGTCTGTAGGGCTCGGTCCCAGGACCTGAGCCCAGATCGAGTCAGCTGCTTGCCCGACTGAGCCACCAGGTGCCTCTACTTACAGATTAAACTTCAATTTTGTTTGCATGATAGGATCAATTATTAGATGCATCTTTCCCCACCCCAATGTCTTCATTTGGTTCCACTTAGGGGCCCCGAGGTGCTTATCCTATAACCACACCTACAAGGTAAACCATGTTTGAGGTCGTGTGGGATGGAGGGTTAGATTTTTGGTTATAGTTTGAGTACTTTTTTCAGAAGACTTCTGCACTGAAACAATGCTGGTACGTTAGGGGATTTAAATTGGGGGAAAAAACACCTTTTTCCCCTGCGTCTGATTTTCTCACTAGTGAGCGCTCCACAGTTAAAGTTCATCTTTATAATACCTGACGTTTTTTTTTTTGTCACATTTTTGTAGATTTTGATCTATGTGAAATTGCAGCAACATCCGCCTCCATGACTTTCTAACATTATCAGTAAACATTTTGTGCAATAGAACGCAGGGTACCAAGTAGGGAGAGAAGTATTTTTCCTTTAAAAAAAAAAGTTTTCTGGGTGTATTATACATAGCTCAATGAAAATAGTCCCTCTTAGCTGTTCATGGTTTTAAGCTCTGCTGGTACAGAATCTGTTAATTCTATTGTGATGCAACCTCTGGTTCTCTGATTCTGATGGAGAATTCTGGAGGCGGCGGCTCCATCTTGGCCATCCTGTGCCCATGAAGGTCTGTCTCCCCTTGCGCCCGGTGTGTCTCCCACCTCCCCTCCTGCCTGTCCTCACCCGTTCTCACTTCCCAGCTAACACGGAGCACGCTTGTAAGGTAATGTAAGGTAACGTGTGTGATTTCTGTTCCGTTTCCAGTGGAAGCTGTAGCCATGACCACCGAGGTAGGCCCCGCAGCTGAGGTGAAGCAGGAGCCCGAGAAAGTGGGCGCCGCCGCCACGGAGAGGCCTAAGGAGGCAGCAGAGAACCGGCAGAATCCGCCCTTGGAGCCCGAGGAGCCCGGGCCGCCGGCCCTGCCTGCAGCTGACAGCCCAGGTCGCCCCCGCCAGAAGAGGGAGGGGGAGCCATCGGAGAGCAGGGGACTCGCCCGCTTCCTGCCGCCCTGGCTGAAGAAGCAGAAGTCCTATACGTTGGTGGCGGCCGGGGACAAGGAGCCGAAGGAGCCCCCGCGGGCTGTCGTGGAGCAGGTGGCAGGTCCAGAGGAATCTCCTCCCGAAGGGGAGAGGCCGCCCCAGGCCGAAGCCCAGGAGAGCGCTGGGAGCAGACAGCAGGAGGTGACAGCCGGGGTCAAGCCCGAGAAGCCGGCAGCCAGCACCGAGGCCCAGGTGTGTCTGAGACCGAACCTGCGGGCGTCAACCGTGTGGTGACCCAGGGGAGCTGTGCTGGAGCGGCTTCGCCTGCTGTGTCTGCGGCGTGGGGCCCACAGTGGTGTGCTACAGCCTTCTCCTTACTACTTCATTTTTATTTTACTTTTTTAAAAAAAAGATTTTATTTATTCATGAGAGACACAGAGAGGCAGGGACACAGAAAGGCAGAGACACAGGCTGAGGGAGCAGCAGGTTCCATGCAGGGAGCCCGATGTGGGACTCGATCCCAGGACCCTGGGGTCATGCCCTGAGCCGAAGGCAGTCGGTCCACCACTGAATGGCTCCCCCCAGCCCGCCCCGCGTCCCTCGTTACTTTTTTTTTTAAACCTTGCTAAAATAATAAGGCCAAAAAATGGACTATATGTGCAAGCCACAGAAAACATTCACATCCCTTCCTTTTAAGGTTCGACAGATACTCTGCAGATCCTTCCTCCCCTTTCTAAAATAGTGTGGATTGTTCTACCTCTGACTCGATGTATGTAAGCGTTCAGTGAGTTGGAAGAAGGAGATTTGTATGTGCAAACATTTTGGTTACTTCAGCCTAGGTTTTACCATGGCATGAAATTATAATTGGAAATTTTATTATTTGAAATAATAGTTAAATTTTAGTGGCCAGGATGTATTTTCTTTGACTCATTCAATGCTGAAGTTACCAAATTGGCAAATGAAGAGGTGGGAGGCGGATTGGGGGAAGGCAGATACGGGGAACATCCTTGCCAGCAAAGCTTTGAAGTCTTTAGGAGTCAGGCCAACATTTTTTAAAAAAATATTTTATTTATCTATTCATGAGAGAGAGAGAGAGAGAGGGAGGCAGAGACACAGAGGGAGGAGCAGGCTCCATGCAGGGATCCCGACGTGGGACCCGATCCCAGGACTTCAGGTCTACACCCTGGGCCAAAGGCAGATGCTTAACCGCTGAGCCACCCAGGGATCCCGGGGCCGACAAGGTTTCTGACAATCCCAGTTCTTACTACAGATTTCCCTTTGAACGCTCGGTCTTCTGCAAGTTGGTCAGCTCTACTATGCGCTTGCCTTTTTCCTTTGACAGTCTGCTGAAGAGGTGGGTAAGGGCAAAGAGAAGGTGGATGAGGTGCAGGAAGATGCGTTGGAGGAAGCAGCGCAGAGGGAGAGCAAGGAGGTGCAGACCAATGAGCTGAAAGCAGAGAAGGCCGCCCAGAAAGCCGCCAAGAAGACCAAAATGGTCCAGTGCAAGGTGATGCTCCTCGACGGCACCGAGTACAGCTGTGACCTGGAGGTGAGTGCGGCGCCGCTGGCTGCCGTGTGGCATCCAGTGAGCGTGGGAGCCCCGGCCGCCTTGCGTGGGGGTGGCACACTGTGCACGGTTTTCTCTTCCTATAAGCCAGTCGTCAGTTTGCTTTAGAAAACAGGAAAACCCGAAGGACGGTCATGTCTATTCCAGACAGTATTTCCTGACCCTTGGGGAGGATGGGGGGTAGTCAGGTGTTTGGCCGGTTTGGACTGGCCGTGTGGACTGGCCGTGTGTGTTCTGAGCGGGCGTGAAGTATTATCACCCTTGTCCACAAGGGTTTTGCTGGAGGAGAACCAGCAGTGGTTCTCCGTTGATTATTTCAAGAGCCAGGATAATTGCAGCGCTTAACCCTACCTAAGTGGATTTTTTTTTTTAAATCCTGAGTCAGATAATGACAAAATCGAGCTCATTTAGTTTCATTTAATTAAAAAACACTCATGACTTGCAAAGCGTATAATTCATTAGTGTGGATGTGACCCAAACCAATATAATTTTTTTAAAGCATCTAGTATCTTATCATTTTGTCAGAAGAGCTTGTTGCTTCTCATAGCTCAGTGACTTGATTTACAAGAACGTAGGCTAATAGTTGTTCACGGAAGAACTCTGTCAAGCGCTTGGGCTGGATTCTCTCAGGTCACACGTGTACAACTCTACGTGAGGTAGGTATTTAGGTATTTACTGTGGGTATTTCCCTTGGTTTCCTGGGGGAAGGCGTAGACAGTTTAACTTGCCTGGAGCGTCATGACTAGTTTGTGGGTGACTCAGAATTCCAGCCATGGCAGTTTGACTCTGGATGTCATGAACAGAACTACCCTATTTCATTTGCTACGCATGGGACCTAATTTGTTCATTTAAAAAATGGTCTCTAAAAAATAAATAAATAAATAAATAAATAAATAAATAAATAAATAAATAAATAAATAAAATATGGTTTCTAAATCTTTTTTTGGGTCTTCTCGTCTATTAAATATTTTTCCTAATTCCTTGCATTCTTGCTTATTAAAAATAGAAGTTATACTTTTAACAACAATGAAAGCATTCAGCTTGGCTAGTTGAACAGTAGTTTATTATATATCTAAACGTGCACCAGAGCACAAGGTTGCTAAGACGAATGTCTCATGGTCCTTGCCTTTATCTACTTTACTCATTTTAGTCATGATTATTCTGATTACTTCAGTTATTTTTAAGAACAGGAACGGCAAAAGAGGATTAAGAATCCTTAATGCTCAGAGAGAGATGGGGAAGGGGCGGCAGGTAGATGGACGCTGCATCTGGGGTGGTCTCACCTTGACTCAGTTACATTTGATCACATTCCCTTGTTTCTCCCTCTTATCCTGGACGTTAGGGCATCTAAACTGTGAGAACCAGCTTGATGGTCACATGACCTTGAGCCATGATTCAAGCCAAACAAAGGCCTAGAAATTGTTGAATGTAAGATTGCTTAGGTCCCTCAGAAGGTTCCAGCTCTCTCTGAAGCTCTTTGTCACCAAACCTCAACATTTACCAACGTGTTTTATGATTTAAATCTATTTTTGTTGTCTATCTTTTAAAATACCAAAATGTACGTAAAAACATCAACATGTGTGTAAAAACTACAAAAATCTAGAAAGTAATGGATGGTTGTATATATTCACCATAAACATTTTAATTCCATGTTCCCATTTTGCCATTTCAGATTTTTTTTTTTAGATTTTTTCTTTCTTTCTTTCTTTCTTTCTTTCTTTCTTTCTTTCTTTCTTTCTTTTCTTTCTTTTCTTTCTTTTCTTTCTTTTCTTTCTTTTCTTTCTTTTCTTTCTTTTCTTTCTTTTCTTTCTTTTCTTTCTTTTCTTTCTTTTTTCCAGAACTAAGACCTTGAAGACCTTGGTGAAGTCTGAGTTCCATCTCTCCTCCCTTGCTCTGTGCAAAAGCGTGTAAATCTCTTGCGTGTATTTTAACTGTGAATGACCAGTTTCTCCATCTTCTGCGCTGTTTCTTCGTGCGCTTCAGTGGGTTGTGGGCCTTGCACGGTTCTGCAGGGAATTGTGACCTTGATAGGCTGTGATTTTATTTCCTCAGACTTCAGGTGCTGCGAAGTGATCTCCAAAGTGCTCGTGCCACTTTGAATTACAGCCACTAACCACCAAGTGGAACTTTTTCCACATTGTCTCTACTTACTCCTGATGACCTGGCACTCATTTTGTAACTCTTAATCTAGGGTTTTTGCATATATTACCTTTAATTTTCTCTCAACCCTTGATGAGATCCTGTGGCCTAGGGCGTAAGCCCCATAGAGTTGCTTCCCTCTTAATATTCTCTGGAAATGTTTGGGTAAGTCAGGGATTACCTGTTCTTGGGAGATGTGATACAACTTCCCTTTAAAACTGTCTTGTCCTGGTGGAAAGAGTAGAGAGTGGGTTTGTTTGTTGTTTTCAAGGCATTGATTCACTTTCCGAATACTCAGAGTTTGTTTCTGTTTTTCCTTGAGTTTTAGTAATTCACAGTTTTACTAGAAACTGCATTTCATCTAATTTGCTTAATCAGCTGGCATGAAGGTTTTCATAGCATTGTCGTCTTGTGCATTCAATTTTTTTAAAGATTTTATTCACGATAGAGAGAGGCAGACACAGGCAGAGGGAGAAGTAGGCTCCATGCAGGGATCCCGACGCGGGACTCGATCCCAGGACCCCAGGATCACGCCCTGGGCTGAAGGCAGGTGCTAAACTGCTGAGCCACCCAGGCTGCCCTGCATTCAATTTTTATTCCATTTTTTTTCTAGTGTTATTTGTCTTCCTCATCCCCCACCCTGCAGATCATTCTTCCTAGAGTTACCACTTTAATTTTTTTTTTCTGAAGAAACAACTTGGTTTTGTCGTTTGTTTTTTCTTTTCTACTTTGTTGAATTTCCCCCCTTTTGCTCTTTATTTTTTCCTTTGGATTACCTTGTTTTTCTAATTTCTTGAGTTGAATATTAAATATACACATGCTTTCATGACTCTGGTTTTCCTGTCAAGTGTCTCGTTGCGAGCACAAGTTTTGAACATAGGGCTCTTCATTGCCATTCAGTTCTTTGTTTTTGCATCCCCTTATGGGTCGTTTTTGACCACTGACATTTTTCTAAATTTTTAAATTTCCAAAGTATGTGTGAATATATGTGTGCATGTCTTGGGGGAAGAGGGCATTTTTCATGTGTTCAGATCTTCTGTTTTATTAGTTTGGCCTGGTTTTCAGATCTGTCCTCTTAATTAGTCTTATTAATTATGTGGTTCATGTTGTTTATTAACCATTTAACTGCTTAGCTTATCAACTAATGAGAGGTGTGTTGAATTCTCTATAATTATTGATATAATTTCATATTTCTATAAGTTTATGCTTTATAAAATTAGAAGCTAGGTTGGTGCAAAATTTTTTCCTTTTTACCATCATTTAGTACCTTTAGATTTATTTTGACATTAATATTACAGCACTGGCTTTATTTTGGTTAGGATTTGCCTGGACTTTTTCCATTTCTTTGGTTTTAGACATTATGCCCTTGTATCTTTGAGGAGAGGCGTGTTTTTTAATCCTGTTTGAGAATTCAGTCTGAACTGGCGAGTTCGGGCCAGCTATTTAAATGATCACTGATGTGTGGCCTTTCTGCCATCTGATGTTAGGTGGTCTGGTATTTTTCTTAGTTTATTGTTATTTTTTTAGGAATATTTAAGTTTGATAGACATAGTTGACTTGATAAAATCTAATATTAATCACTGTGCCCCCCCCCCTTTTCCTCTGGTTAGCACTCATTTATTAGAGGTCAGATCTCATTTTGAAATGGTACAAAATAACATTCTTCTCTGTGTGACTGTTCCCTCTTCTAGGACTTTGTTGCTCATGAGGAATGAAGTTGTTAGGGTGCTTGAAGCAGAGTTGGGAAAGAGTGCAGAGTTAAACACAGCAAAGTTTGCAATTAATGAACATTAAATTCACTGAGACTGAAATTGGTTCCAAAAGCGTGGGGGTCTTGGGGCGCCTGGGTGGCTCAGTGGGTTAAGCATCTGCTTCTGGCTCAGGTCGTGATCCCAGCCCCGTGTTCACTGGGGTCCCTGCTCTTGCGCTCACTCTCTGTCTTTCCCTTTAAATAAATGAAATCTTTTTTAAAAAACATGGGAGTCTTTTAATGTGCAGATTGTCTATTTAGTTGATAAATGTTACTTAATATATCATTGAAAATGAACTTTTGAGGACCATAAATTTGAAATAAGTGTGTAGCATGTAGGTGTTGAGTAATCTTTTTTCTTTCAAGCACAAAGCAAAACGCAATGTGAGTAGGCTTTGGTGATGTGATCCCAGCAGATTTTATGTACCTGATTCATTAGGATCTAAGCAGCGACTTTATGTCTGACCATAGGCTGTAACTCCTCAGTGTCATGGTAGCTGTTCTAACAACGCACATGTTATAGGTTGTATTTCCTCTTTTATCCGGTTTTTCTTCCCGTTTTGGTTCCCTGGTTGCTTGCTTAGTATCATCAGGAGGGGGCTGTTATGCATCACGCCTGCTGCTGTTTTCCGCTCACCAGCAGAGCCCAGAGGACAGTCATCACGTGGTGTGAATGCTCTCGTGTTTCCCGTCCCAGCGCTGACCTCAGACAGATTGGGTGATGTGCTGATGCTGCTTATCTGTGGTTCTGCAGCTCCACACCGGAAATGGGTGTCTAAGGACTACTTGGGGAAGTATGCTGTGGGAAACCGTAGCTGTTGATGAACTTGCAAGCACTCAAGGAAGATGAATACAATGTGAGAAATAAATACTTTCACTTTATTTGGTTTGGGAGATTAGATTTGTTCCCATCTGTCTGCAGTCATTAAGGATTAATGTCTAACGTGACTTTTTTTAAAATTTTTTTTAATTTTTATTTATTTATGATAGAGAGAGAGAGAGAGAGAGAGAGAGAGAGAGAGAGGCAGAGACATAGGCAGAGGGAGAAGCAGGCTCCATGCACCGGGAGCCCGATGTGGGATTCAATTCTGGG